ACTTGTGTGGTTACAGAAACGAACTACATTTTAGCAAGCCCTTCTTCTTGATATACTAAACAGGTTGATGCTTGATAAATCAAATTTAAGCTAAGGTCTTTATATAGCGTTCACTATTTTTTAAAAAGTGAGTTGATGCATCTGCAGTGATATTATTAATGCTTTTGAGTTTTTACTATGACCACCGTTTTTCTTAATTTTATTTTTCGTACGTTCATTTGAAGTTGAGCTGTTAATTGTTTTAAACAATACTGCGACAAAAATCTTGCAAAGAACACTATCAGTTTAAGGTCCATGAATTCACTGATGATTATAAATAAGCGCTAATCAAGGTTGATCGCAAATCCTTTTCTGTTAGTACCGTCCTATGTTTTATGGAACATCTTTTAGTGTTTTAATTTCATAGCTCGATCTCGGAGCGAGACAAAGCATTCCGGAAGTTCTGACTTCTGGAAAGCGCCCTATGTTGAAGGAGTACTTGTTCCCCAACAAATCTACATTTTTAATAATCCACTTATTATAAAATAATTCAATGTTTTGAATACACCACAGTGACAATGCAGTTTAAATGACAGGCCATTTTTTCAGTTGGATCATGCAAACCTTCCGGTAAGTGATCATACTTATATTTTTTGTAAGCTTAGTTTTTGTCAAATAGTTTCTGAAATGATTGGTTTTTTAGGTACTGGAGTGAGAAAGTGAATTCCTAGCTAGGGTTATATGAGCTGCCCTCATGTGGTATTAAAACTTAATCTTTAAACACAGTTCCATCTACTAGTAACAGTACAGTATTTGTTACAGATGAGGAGTTTTCTTTTCCTTTTTAGCTTCAGTAACGAGCACCTCTGTGCTTTATTTCAGATTTTGTTTTCGAACTTTTTGCAAAACAAAATAGCTACTTTTTTCAGTCACCTACCTGACTATAAAAACTACCTAACTTATGTGGTTAAATTCTTTTCTTATGAACAGTAATAAAAACTTCTATAAAAATGGCCAAGCTGAATCAAGCACTCAGTATACAGCATTCATTCCAGTTCATCTGACAAAAAGTTTGTGGGTATTTGAGAACTACTGAGTGTGAGTATCTCTACATTTTTTTTTTAAGTTAAGAAGACCATCATCAATCAGACCATCAATCAGGTTCTGATTGATTATCAGAGCTTAAGGTGTTTATTATTGTTTCATTTAATCATGTCTTTCAACTGCCTTGGTGATAATTTTTATTTTTTTAGTTCCTGGGGACGAGGTTGAGTCGCTTTGGTTGTGAAAACAAAAATGGCAGACATTTCAGTCGTTTTAAGAGTAAGAACTGGTCGAAATAATAGCTAAAAACATGGCAAGAACAGCAAGAAGACAACTCGAGGGGCGACATCTGCCATTTGGAGAAGAGGCAAGCATGTTTTAGCTATGTTTTTAACTAGGAACTATTTTGAATGAATAACAATTATTGAATTCGATTCGGTTTTCGTATCATACGAAGAATTATGGAGATCTCAGAGGGTGTTATCCGCCCCGGCCTACGGCCTCGACGGATAACAACCTACTCGATCTCCATAATTCTTTATAAGATACTCAGCCTCATTCATTAATTGTTAATTCACTGTAACAAGCTCAACAAAACTAAAATATGCTTTCGGCAAAAATATAGAGAGAGTTTAAAAATAGCGGAATATCCACTCCATCAATTGATACGTCTAAGCCGGCGTCTAGAGGTCCATATCACTCTTTTTGTCAAATCCCGAATGAAGAATAAAAAGCTAAGAAACAGGGGGGCGTTTAAGATAGAGGCGTTTATTTGGAAGTGGGCGTACGGTATATTGTTTCAAACTCTGAGGCTGCACCGGGAATGACAATCCATTCCTGAGGGAATGGCATCCATTCCTTTCCTTCTCCCCTGAGAGAGAGTGTATGTGTTAACTAAAAGAACCAAAAACTCAGAGGCAGTTTTAGTTTTATGACATAAAGATCAGCCTGAGCGCTCTAAAGGATCTGCTAAAAAGATTTGACATCGTTTGTCTCTTGATCTTCTCCGGCTTAAGGCTTTCCGAAAGTCTTTCTTACCTAAAATGTATAAACAAGGATTAAGAAACGAAGTTAGAAATCGAAGCCAGGTTGAGATGTGTGCCACATGGGGATGTAGATCTCCGTCATTAAATATAAACCGAAGTATGAAGTAAGGCAACCAGCAGACTGTGTAGACCATTAACATGACGGCGAAAATGCTGAGAACTTTTCTTTCCGCGTTTTTCATTTCTTCTACTTTTTGCCAACCAGGGTAGCTCTCCCTTCGTATGTTATTAATCTGCCGCGAAACTTCAAAGAATATTTTTGAGTAAACAAAAGCCATACACACGAGTGGTGTAAAGAAAAATATTACAAGAGATACTGAGTCGTAGATGATCTCCTTTCGAATTAGCTCGGCTGTTGCCTCTTCGTAGACGTTGTGGCTACCTAGATCAATCCAGCTGAGTTGAATCAAGGCTATTACAGCTGACAGAATCCAGATGAATAACACAACAGAAAGGTATCTGAGGAGTGTTACAATTGACTTGTAACGTAAAGAGTGTATTATAGCCAGATATCTGAGGAAAAAGAAAATGATAAGTCAAGTTCTGAAAGGTAATCATATGACAACGTAAAAGAGAACACGAACTTGATGCCAGAGACACTGATGACCTTTGGGAAGTAAAAGAAAAAAACTGCTTTAAAATTGACTCACTAATTCGCTGCACGTATGGGAAATCCTGTTTCCGGAATCTGGGAGTTTTTTGTTGTGGAATCCAGAATCCTGGGCTTTAGAATCAGGAATACCGGCAGCTCAAGGAATCCGGAAACACACTAACGATTGGAATTCGTTTTTCAAGTTCAACTGAAAAAGAATCTGGTATACACTACATGGAATTCGGAGTGTCAAACGTGGAATTCCACTCTGTCATTTCACAGGCAGAATTACGGCTCAAGACAAATTCGTAATAGTGGAGTTCACGCTCATAGTTGCATCATGGGTAATCAGGGCAAGAGGGCGGGAAATTAGAAGATTTGTAATAGAATTCAAAGCCAGATATCTCTTCCTGAGGACTTATATTTGATGCTTTCTCTTTGAAAAAAGTAACTTACGAGTTCAAAGAAACAATACACTAACTCTAAAGTGCAAAGAAGTCCGTGATCAGTTTTTAGAAAACCTTGGTTTTCCCATACATATTCTGTAATTCGACAGTGTCAAAATTACCTAAAATGTATGGAAATTTGCCGGTTTCTAAAAACTGATCACGGACTTTTTTGCACTCCAGATTTAGTGTACTGTTTGTTTGATCTCGTAAGTTACTCTTTTCAAAGAGAAAGCATCAAGTATATGAATTCAGGAAAAAATAGCTGGCTTTGAGTTCTAAAACAAATCTTCTAATTTCTCGCCATCTTGCATAGATTACCCATGATGCAACTGTGAGCGTGAACTCCTCTATTGTTGGACATGGCTGGGCCCACTACGTTGTGATTTGTAACTGGCGGGTAACTCAAAATAATTCATTTGTGGCAAATCAAGATATCAGTGGTAGCTGATGCAATTCTTGTTTTATCGTCTCCCATCGGTATGCTTGTTTTGTTTGGTAATTTATTAAGTAAATGAAGAGCTGATATCTTGTTCCTCGAAGGGAAAGATCAAACCCTACATGCGCAGAGGAAAGTCTTCAGCACAACAACTTTTTCGTTATTGCGTACGATCATACCATTGTCTGTAGGCACTTATCTGTGACGTAAAGACCTTTATTATATACATACTGAGAAATACTCACCAAAAAGCTATGTCGTAAATTTTCGTACGCAAATTAGTTCTAGCCAATCAGAGGAGCGAACGATGGTTTTCACACGAGAAAAAAATGATACGTCAAATCAGCATCGTGAACGATGTTTTTTCACGTGTGAGAAAAATGATACGTCCAATCAGAAGCCACTGAGGTGTGTGAGTTTCGCGCCAAAATTCCCGCCTTTTTTTGCAGCTTGCAGCGCCGCTTCGCACACATTCAAAGAGAAAAGTTTTACTCAAAGAGTTTTTCTCTCTAAAAAAGTGAAAAACATTTCGGAAATGGAGTGGAATAGTTTCGTTTATTTCACTGTCGATAAAGAAAACAGTAAAGAGCCGGCGAAACAACAGCCGAAAGGGAAAAACAGAACGAGACGTAAGCTTTTGTTGTGCTTTTTGTCGGAGCTACTTTGCCTTTCATTTAAGCTTAAGCTTATATTGAAACCGGCCATTTTACTTAAATTCACTCATTTTCAATTGTGCATTGAGAACAAACAGTTAAGATTACTTATAGTTCTTGGATTACCTCATATCGTTACCGTGATTTATGTTTTTATCAAACGTTTTTACTAAATAGCTGATACTTCGTTTTCGTTGTCATTTTGCGGTAAGTGTGTAGCGGCAAATTTTAGCATTTTTGAAAGATCTAAAATAAAAAGGCCGCCAAAATGTTGAATGTCTCAGTATGTATATAATAAACACAATACCACATGGAAAGTGCTTTGTACGGTATTTACGCACTTTCCATGAAGTATTCTCTATTTAGAACGTTGAATTTTAATGACAATGTTTTTTACCTGTCCACACTGATAACTAAAAGGTGACAGACAGCTGAAACAGAGGTAAACCGAAGCATCTGGTCGGCAGAAATGCAAAGCCCTGATTGGTGTAAAATACTGCACGCCATGAACAGCGGTATGCTCGCCAATCCTGTCATAAGGTCAGAAAGGGCCAGGCTACATAGCAACAGGTTTGTAATAGTTCTCAAGTGTTTTTTCTTTAATACCAGGATTAATACCAGTCCATTGACAAGAACAATCAATACTCCAAGTATAATTGGCGGAACGTCCTCCTTTGCACTGAAGGTCAGCGTCTCATAGGAGCCGGATGTGTTATTTGACTGGGAAAGAGAGCTGTCTTTTTTGGCACTACTCATGGTTATGCATTGAGAATTTGCGTGACGTTTCTCAAGTCGAAATGCCTAAGGATGCAAGCAAAGCACAAATTCTTAGGGGTGGCCATTGATCCTTTTTAATAAATTCAGTGGTAAAGTAGTCATACAATACGATCAAAAGTCAATTTCCGCATAAGAAAATCCTGCGGGGACAATTAAAAAGAACCTGAAAGTCCAACAAAAACACACATAGACAAATATAACAAAATACTACAGCCAATCAAAAGGGTTTCCTACTCGAGATTTCGGATTGATGATCCACCCTAGGGTAAAGAGTTCAATTTTATTAACGAAATACAGTAGCTCCTCTCAGTTGTATAATTTTTTTCTATTATTAACAGTAGAAACAAGCTATATGAGTTGTTTCTGCAGTCCGACACCAAAACATATTTTCTTCGTTATTGATCCTTCAGTATCACTTCTAAATATAGCATAAATTATAAAAGTGATCTTTTGCCTTTTTGTCCCAACCAGCTTTGTAGTCCCCTCCGCTATAGACAACGGGAAATGAAAATGTTATTAAATCTTATTTGTTATTTGTTGCGCGGAATATTGTAAAGATGTTTTCTGTCTCAATGGAAGCTTCCGCGATCTGGTTAATTTCTACTTGGGAAACCCATGCAATTTAGTTTAGCCTAACTATATTATATATACACGATGGATAATATAGGCAAAGAGGTGATTTTTATTTCCAGACGGAAAAACGCTTTCAAAACAATTGAAAAGACATTGAAAGCCAGCTTTACTCAAACAGAAGTACTCTGGGAGAAAATCGCGATTTATACAGATTAAAATTACTTTAAATGTTAGGAGGAATCGCTGCGTTTCAAAGGTTCCGGCACTCTCAATTTGACTCAGGAACAAGTAATCAAAAAGGCAAAACTATCTCTTACAAGCTTAAAGAAAGTGGCAAAATGTTCACAAAGATCAAAAGGAAAACGATTGGCAATCTTTTTGGTATTCAATGTAAAAAGAAATTATTAAGCAAACGGTCGGCCTGGCGCGCAATGATGTGCACGACGAAACAAAAATGGACCCTTTTATACAGTTATTCTACTAAAACAAGTTCTCTTTAACTTCAAGTCTCCCCCAAAATATGATAACAAAGAGGAACTTCTGTCGTTACTGAAATACGACAACGAATACTTACGGTTAATCGCAAATTCGCCACCTCTTTCCCGTCTTGCACACTGAGTGAAAAGAGCCCATTCTTAACTGTAGATGATTTACATGGAAAATTATGGAAACTGAAAGGTAGCAAGTTCTTACGTCAACAAATTTGTTTATGTACAATGTCGAACTTATTTCCACAAAAACTATTAAGTGATTGGACTTCTAAGCGACCGACAATGACGATGCTTTCATCTGCTGTTTACAAGGAAAAAAAACTGGCTAAGTTCATCCCGGGTGTAAATTATATGGCGGGATCAGTAATTAATATGCCTTTTTTTAGTAAGTATTCAATGTTAGCCTCGAGCGGATTAAGTTGGTTTGAATGTTGAATCTGATGAAAAATATTTTTTTGGAAAAATCCGCCCTCCTAGGTCATCAAGCGTGCAGATTAAGAATCAAGTTATTCACGTTTTTCAGTTGTAACGTTGATGGTGTTTTATTAGACTCGAAAGCGATTTTAAGGCTACCATTCTTTTCGTATGTTAACAATGATTTTATTGTAATAACTTTTAGTTTTTCACATTAATTTGAGGTTGTATATTACCTTACACCCCACAGCCGAGGTTGAATGTAATTTCCTGAGGTGTGAAAACAGCTGCAGTTTAAACTAATATCAAAAGCGACATCAACGGCTTTTTCCTTAAGTAAATTTTTTCTAATCTCTTACTTGGAGCAAAATCCTTTAATTTTAGCTTTTTATAAAATATAATATAATCAATTTACCAACGCAAAAATTTGGATTTATCAACAGAGTTCGTGAGGAAAGAATTCAAAAACGGATTTTTCGCTACCACTAATTTTTGTACAGTTCTATCTCGCTTAAATTTGTTACTGTTCAATATTTATTTATCAAAATGGTTTTCCTTACATTCGTCGTGAGTTTGGTTGTAGTATTCAATAACAGTTAAAAATAAGGTCGGTCTCATCGAAGTCAGAAATATATAAACTACGAATTATTGATCGCAATCGGTTTGGCTGACTGATGTATGATGCGAAAGTTACTGGCTTTCACACTGCACTAACCTTAATTATTCCAGTGAAAGGCCGTTTATTCATGAGTTGTTCCCTTTAATTAGCTTCGTGCGCCTAGGGACGTTTTTCTGTTTACAAAACACTATTAAGAAGGCTGCATAGTTAACTCCTGTTAAAACGAGTTGAAGGTGTTGATTAGAAATCAGCAAGGGGTTTTCGATTTCGTTGCCAAGCTCAATAAACCAGACGAAAAAATCCATAATCTTGATTCAAGTTTTAAAATATTTGCTTATCATAATAAACTTTCCACACGGTTGTCACGATGAAAATATTGTGAGTCAAATAAGTATGTCGCACGCCAATTCGCTCCAGCCACATTAGAATGTAAATTTACAATGCATAAATCATAGGATTCTCTGCTTCAGTAACCATGGCAACCTTAACGAAAAAAATGGCGCGTGGTGTACACTGATCATAACTTCCTCTTTTTTACCAGAACTTCTTCCCTTTTTTGACGCATTTTCCTCTTTTTGGGGACTTAAGAAATCAGCAGGGCTTCTAAACGGATTCTGGAAGACTGTAAGCCAGAAATCCGCATGCGCAGTCTGAGTATGAAGTAGATTTTCTACGAAGCGATACTAAGTATTAACCAAGGGACGGACCATAAGGAAAGTGTTGAGGGAGGGGGTGAATTACCGACAGAAGGATCCAGGTATTCAGATGAGAGGGTGTGGCAAAGTCAGTTTGGAAGAATTGGTTTAATGTAAAGTAAAATGAGGTTCGTCTGGTGAATGAATTTTTTCTTTGGGTTTTGCTTTTTATGAACATTTTTAGGGACATTTTTTTTCTCTTGCAGTTTTTTTTTTTCGTCAGGAACCCATCACCCTGAGCAAGCAACTTCCATGCGCTGGTGTCACGGCGTTTTTACGGATCGGTCTATTTTTAGAACGGTTTTGGCGCGAATTTTGAATATCTTTTAAATCCCACAAAGCAGTCAGCAAAACCTACGACCTAAAAATGATATTTTTTGCCTTTTAATAACGTTTGGTTTTCCTTTTTGATATGTTATACTTCAAATGCGCTCATAGATATGGTGGAGATTCTCTTTTTGCGGGAAAAAGTGCCCTAAAATGTGTCTAAAAATAAACTGGTCCGTGAAAGCGCCGTGACATGGGCCTAGTATGGGATTTGCTCGCTCCGGGTTATGGGCTCCTTCCTTTGTTTATTTTCCCCTACCTCCATTACCATTTTTCTAGTGTTCCATCCCTATGGTGGCCGATAACTGCCATTCGTCAAAAGCACATAAATTTGTTAATTTTAGATCGAACTTTAATTATTTTGTATTGGAAATAAAGTGAAAGTACAATGTAAAAACATTTTGTTTTTTATTGAACTGGAAATAGATTCTTCTTTATTATTATTTTCAAAACAAAACAAAATATTTTTACTATGAAATGAAAATAAAAATAAAAGTGAATAAAAGCAAAAGTAAAAATAATTTGTTCACGGCCGGGAACTGCCATTCAAAACAAAAAAAAGCAAAATTAATTTGTTCACGGCCGGGAACTGCCATTCAAAACAGAAAAAGTAAAATTAATTTGTTCACGGCCGGGAACTGCCATTCAAATTTGGGGAGGGACTGGAACGCAGTGACGGGCATTATGGCGGCATATTTTCGAAATGATGGTTGGAAAGAAGACATCGTTCTCAAAGAAGAAATGGCTAAATATGTAAAACAGGGTTTTCAACGGAGAGAAATGTTAGATTTTTTGAAAAGGGATTTTGCCCAATATGCATGGAGCCTTCGCACTGTCTACAGACGCCTTCGTCACTTTGACATACAGTACAATGACAAAAATGTGTCCCCCATATTGAGTCTAATGATTTTTGCGAAAGGGCGCCAAATTATCAAAGAATCCGGGGAGTCTGGGTACGAGATTGTAAACAAACGCGAGCGACGCACTCCCACCAAAAGTCTCATTTCTTTCTTTTTGAATGGCAGTTCCCGGCCATGGACATATTTATTTTAGTTTTTTTTATTTGAATGGCAGTTCCCGGCCGTGAACAAATTAATTTTGCTTTTTTTTGTTTTGAATGGCAGTTCCCGGCCGTGAACAAATTATTTTTACTTTTGCTTTTATTCACTTTTATTTTTATTTTCATTTCATAGTAAAAATATTTTGTTTTGTTTTGAAAATAATAATAAAGAAGAATCTATTTCCAGTTCAATAAAAAACAAAATGTTTTTACATTGTACTTTCACTTTATTTCCAATACAAAATAATTAAAGTTCGATCTAAAATTAACAAATTTATGTGCTTTTGACGAATGGCAGTTATCGGCCACCATAGAGTGGCTTACGTTTTACGCTTTTTCGCCTTAACTGTATAAAAATTGTTAGTGTCGGCACTGGATTTTGAAGAAGAGACGTTAATAAAAAATACAAGACCACTGGTGACTACGGTAGACCTTGTAGAAGTTCTGGCTTCTGCAGAATATAGTAAGGGCGACTGTTGAATTATCTCTTGACAACATTGAATAATAGTTTGCGGACCTCTCTGGAAACCAACTCCAGATTAATTTCGAGGGTTCAATTAGTCTAAAAATAACTTTGGTGAAATTCACAGACCCATAATGGCTGGACTGGGCGTCTCCGTCTGTGTCTCGTTATTCTCTCTTGACAGCTGATATTCAGGGATAAGGAATGTAAATGATGGCATGAACAAGAGCTCCCTGTACTTCACCAACTAAAACCTTGGCTGAAGAATCACATTCAGAACGTTTTTTAAAAAAGGGGGAGACCCGTTGCCTCTGCAAAACGTAAGGGTAGCATTGGGTCAGGTAACAATAATTCATCAGATGATTGTGGGATCCCTCAGTAA